CAAAAAAAAAAAAAAAAAAAAAAAAAAAAAAAAAAACATGGACACATTTGTGTGCGTGTGTGCATATGCAAACGTTGCGCTGACATGTGTTTATATATTGCTTCAGTTTACTTTTAATGTTAAAACAGGCTGTTTCGTAAATGTTTGCAAGCAAAAATAAAAATGTAAAGAAAATGCTAACTTCTTGGAGGAAGAGTTTGTTACCTAGGTTGACCGTTAGTTTTACTCGTCCCGCATCCAACTCCAACCGGAGGGTATCAGCAGACTCCCTGGAAGTTGTTGCCATTAAAATGCCATAAGCTCGCTGAGACCTGAACCGTAAAGAAACATCTTCTGCCTCTGTGTGCATCACAACAGGGAGCTGTATTTTCATAAACATACTTCCATCATAGCTTAATATTGTTGCCTCTGAAAACGTAAGATAGAAAATCAGTTATTAAAGAAGTTATTGTGCTATTTATTGATATTGCCCAAACAGAAGATGGTAAATGTATATCCACTCAGCACGACATGGAAAAATTACATATTAAAATTATTACTGAGAAGCATAAACAACAAGTGAAAAACTCAATGTCTTTCTTTATGAGGGATATTTTGGTGCTTCTAAAGAAAACACAACTGCTCTTTTAACAAACAGGTGGATAAAATCACCTGTAAATAAATGCTTGCCAGACTGGGTCCATACTGTGCAATATACATCAAAGCCTAGTAAAGCTAGTAAAAACTAGCCAGGTAAACAGCTTCTTAAAAGGCCATGTCTGTCTGTCATCCCCTGTGATAAGTGCTTCAGGATACTTTGTGCATAAACCTATTGAGATTGCTACTACCAGTGGTGATTATCATCCAGTCAGCAGAATGAAGCCTTCAAGAATTAGGATGGAAGACGTGACCATCATACATGGTTTGCTTGAGAGCAGACTGCTTCACAATTGTGATGGCTGAGGTCTGAGAGACTCAAAAACGTGTGTACAGACATGGCGACAGCCTCAACCTGAGAAGCGAGACTGGACTTGGCATATTGAGGGTAGGATTTAAAAACCCCTGAGACAAGCAAGTAACTGTCAGCTTCAGACATTGCAGAAAGTGCTCCCAGCGAGTGTTGCGGGCACAGCAGTGCAGTCATGGCCTGTTAGGTCCCCGAGCAACCAGCCACAAGTCATCTTCTCCCAGCCCCCGTACTGGTAGCAAGAATGGGAGCAGAGATGACACTGCTGCTCACAGGGAGCATGGCAGTTCCTAGAAAGCAAAGTCTGTAACGTCTTCTGAAACATAAAGCAGGATGACCAAGTGCTGCTGCCTGTTCTCCAACAGAGCCTTTGGAATTGGCTCTCAGATGGAGATGTGCTATGCTGGAAGTGGCAGCAAGCATGCAACTTTCCTTGCTCAAAGCCAGACAGCAGCCACTGCCAGGTGTTTCAGCAGGCCCAGAAGTACCATACAGCAACAGCCATTCTATATGACCTAAATCAGTAACTGAATAACAAAATACACTTATCTGAATGCAAGCTGTCTTACGCATACCTGATTGCTTGCCTACTGCTACTTTGCTAGAGACCTTTTAGCTGTCTCCATCTGTGTTCTACATTCTTTAACACACCCCAAAACTCTTAGGTTAGAAACTGGTGAAGTGCCAGATAATGAGGACTACACAGGATATCTAGTCTTGATTTGAAAAAGGTGCAATCCTGAGGACACACCAATCCACAGAAGGAGGAAAAAAAAAAAATGGAGCAGGCATCAGATAACATCTCAAGCCACAGGAAGGATAAACTTCAGCACTTATTCACTCAATTGACCAAATAAAGAAGAAGAGGGAAAAAAATAATATAATTACAAATCTATGAATGTTAACAAGCACTAAGTACATTTCTCTTGTGCAAATCCCAGACTAGATAATTCAGTGTAGTGTACAATTTCCCTCTTGCAGTTCTTTTCTATCTTAGCCCTGAAGTCAATGCTCTGTACGAACAATTGCAGGTAAGATACAACCACCTACAGCTCCAGGTGTGCAGATTCTAATTTTCACTGCCAAGTCTGCCATAAGATCTTGGACAAATAATTTAGCTTCTCTGTACTTTAACTTCACTCAGTAAAACTGAGATACTTACCTACAGCAAAGGTGTACTGTCCTCCTATACACAAATAATATCTCCAATGCTACTGTTTATTATGTTTAATCAATACAATAATTAACATAAGAATGAGAATTATTTTGCTTTATGTCAATACTTAAGACACTATAGTTTGTCAAAACAGTCTATATCACAGGTCTTGTTTGCTCTAAGAGTTCCAGCCAATATGGTCCATGGAAGGACAAATACTTCCAAATATAACTGTGTAAGCACACTGGAAGCAAAAGTGATGTGTGGTATGTTCACTGATAGTGCCAGGCTTTCACACTACAAGTTTTGACAAAAATGGCTTAAGGGGAAAATAATGAAAAGGAAAGGGAAAGGGAAAGGGAAGAAAAAGTTACTAATTCTTTTAGTGAAAATCATTAGACAGAACAAATTAGTATACATTTTCAGGTTTGACCATTTCTAACCACACGTTCTGTATGTCCTCAATATAAATGTTTGTTTTTTTTTTTTTCTGTGAAGGACATCAATTACTTATTTCTCACCAGTCTGATGAAAGACTTCATGTCAGAAAGTTTTTCACAGGGGAACGCGCTTTGTTTTTTGTTGTTGGTTTTTGTGCCTTTTTTTTTTTTTTTTTTTAATTGTTTGGGAGCAGTGGGGGTAGGACAGCTTACAGTTATTTCCTGTATCTTGATTATTAGTCTGTGCACAAAAGACTCACCAGATCTTTGTAAAAAATAAACATGATTTAGACAATTAAAGAAGTCCAGCATTAAAAAATGTTGTTACAAGGTAATAAGAGGGGAAAAAAAAAATGCATTGCCTACTAAAATAAGGGCCATTGGTACTACTCCTGTTTTTCATAATCTGAGCAAAATCAGATTAAATATTATAGGTTGAACACCACTCAAAAACAGTACAGATCTTTGCTGTTATATTATTTTCTAATAATAGAAAAGAAAGTTGTCAGAATCAACTACTACGTACTGTTTGCTGTTTTTCCTATAATTATTTAGTATTCTAGAGAATGACACAAAAAGGAAAGAAGAAACTGTGTTAATTTAATCAGAGATGACCTGTGAGTGTTTAAAATCATGGAGAACAGACATGATGTGATTAGATACTCAATCCTCCTAAACCTTACTGTGCCAGCTATTTTGGAAACAGATGTTCCAAGAACAAACCAAGGAGACTGAACACAAGATCAAATGACTTAAAAGCTCCAAGGCAATCAGGAAACCCCTTCATATCAACTAGCTGCTTTCAGAATGGGGAGCTCTGAGTTAAAGGCTATCTAAAATATAAAGTTATCACAGCAAAACCCACAAAACTGTTAGGAAGCTGGAATTTCATCAAGACTTAGCACTGTCCTGAGGGCCATAACTTAAGATCAGTGATGCTATGTATCTGTAAAGTAGAAAAAAATAATAATGCTTAGTTCACTTACTTTGCTTCAGTATTTTCTGTTAAGATTGACCCTCAGGAATCCCAGATCCTGGAGATAAGAGAGAGAGAGATTCTAGGGAAAGAAAAACTTGCTCTTGGTCGAGGAGGATATTGTCAGAGATCACCTAGGAAAACTCAATGCACACAAATTCACAGGCTCCAAAAGAATGCACACACGGATGCTGAGGAAGATGGCAGAAGAGATTATCAAGCCACTGTCTATCATCTCAGATAGGTCATGGAGAACAGAGAGGTTCCTGAAGTCTGGATAATAGCTAACATCACTTCTGTCTTCGAAAAGAGCAAGAAGGAGGACCCAGGAAACTACAGGTCAGTCAGCCTCACTTCTGTCCCTGGAAAGGTAGTGGAGCAGCTTATTCTGGATATTATCACTGAGTAAGTGGAAGAGAAGAAATCAATATGGATTCATCAAAGGGCGATAATAATAATGCTTGACCAATCTGTTAGCCTTCTGTGCTACCGTGACCAGCTGGGTAGATGAGAGGAGACTTGTACCTTGACTTCAGCAAGGTGTTTGACACTGTCTCCCATAACATCCTCATAAGTAAGCTAAGGAGCTGTGGGATAGATGAGAGAAGAGTGGGGTAAATTGAGAACTGGCTGCCTGGCAGAGCTCAGAGGATAGTGATCAATGGCACATAGTCTAGATGGAGGTCTGTAGATAGTTCCATAGGGATTGTTAGTGGCTCTGGTCTTCTTCAACAACTTCAGCAATCTGGATGAAGGGATAGAATGCACCTTCAGCAAGTTTTCTGATGATTCAAAGCTGGGAGGAGTGGGTGACACACCAGAGGGCTGTGCTGCCATTCATTGAGCAGGTCAAGAAAGGTGATCCTCCCACTCTACTCTGACTTGGTGAGAGCACATCTGGAATACACTGTCTGGTAGTGGTCTTCCAAGTTCAAGAAAGACAAGGAACTTCTAGAGAGAGTCCAGCAGAGGGCAACAAAGATGATGGGGGCCTGGAGCATCTTCCTTATAAGGAAAGGCTGAGAGACCTGGGGGTGTTTAGCCTGTAGAAGAGATTCGATTGAGAGAGGATCTTATAAATATCTAGAGGGTGGGAGTCAAGTGGATGTGACAAGGCTGTTTTCAGTGGTTCCAAGCAACAGAACAAGGGGCAATGGACAGAAACTGGAATATAGGAAGTTCTATATGAACACGAGGGCTGAAAAGCACTGGAACAAGTTGCCCAGTGGGGTTGTAGAGTCTCCTTCTCTGAAGATTGTCAAAACTCACGTAGATGCTTTCTTGTACAACCTTCTAGGCAACTGCTTTAGCAGAGGAGTCGCACTAAATGATCTCCAGAGGTCCCTTAGAACCCCTATGAACTAATAGTAAATATGAGACCTTTGATAGCACAGTGAGTTTCCTCTTCCCTTACTGCTGTTTTCTAATTCATTGAGGGCAAGCCTTCATGGCATGTACCATCTTAATGCTTCCCATTCAGTTTGTTTGTTTTTTGGATAGCGATAAAAATTAGTTTTAATATAAAACAAAATATGCTTGTTTTGAATCTCCTCTTATTACGAGAGCTTTTGCTTTAGTTAACACAACTGTTTCCATCCCGCAGTACTTCAGCTGTGCAGAATGGATTGTTAATTTGCAATGTCTGTTCAATAAGATGATGATGATCTGAATGTGTGGAGGCAGCAAGTGTTACACACCAGCTGTGCAAACCTCACGGGAACATTAAATCTACAAATTTGTATTCATTTTTGGACAGACTAATTCCTATAGCATTGTGCACCTCATCTTTAAGCTCTACACTCTTAGGTCATCTCGTGTAAAGATTGACAGTCTTCTTCTCTCTTGTTTAGCTTCATCTAGTTATTAAATGCTAACAGAGCAGAATTCTAGCTCAGTGTGCTATGAGTTGTTTTATCTGTTGGAAGAGTCAAAGCCTCAACACCAAGGAATAGTAATTTTACTATCATGTCAGTATTGGAAGCATGACATTAAAAAGGAAAATATTAAAAAAACCTTATTGAACTTTATCAACAGTAAATTTGCTGACCAGTTTCTGGGCAGCAAATAAGTACATACCAATGCATGCGCTTTCTTCTTATTCACAAGAAATGAACCATAACATGATTCACAGACTGATAAAAAATATTTTATGCATTCTTTCTTCAATATATTTATAAGCCTGACATTAGAAACCTTTCCTACTTCTGTGCTAAAAGAACAGGAGGATTCTCCTCTCCCTTTTTTCTTTCAGTTCGTTTCTGATTAAAATCTCCAGGGCTGGATTCTCTTCTTGGCTACGTAGATAATATCTACATCAGTGTCATGCCAATCACCAAGGATGTACCAGCATCCTCTTGAGAGGAGATTCAGGATCCTCATTTTCCACTTGAGATTACTTAAATCACTGAAGAGACTGATACATCCACTTTTTAGGAAATTTTCCCACCCTCAGAAATGCTCTGAAATATTTACTGGGAGAAATGACTTTGTGAATAGATACTATTTTTCAATTCATAGTCTGTTTAAAGTGTAAGAAGTATGGACCAGGAATTTGAATTTCAGTGTTCTTGCTCTGAAGCTTTACAGTCAAGTTTACATTGTTTTTAACATGATGAAGAGATGCTTACTGCACTTACATTAATAAATAAAAAAGGATCTTGTTTCCTTTGGACCTCTAAAGTCCTAAAACAGAACAATTAACTTTTTCCCACTTTCTCAGATTTAAAGTGTCTGAAAATGCAAAGACTGTTCTGTAGCCCACACAGCCATTTTCAAAGATGCAGTCATCTCTGGTGTGGGCTGTCAAATCACACACAAAATTTGCCTTGAGGTGACAGAAGTCACAGCCCAGAGTCAAGCCAGAAAATTTGTGATCAATCTGGAACATCGCTAATCAACCATTCAGCTGTTTTCTCTGACCCTCTTTTATTTATCAGTAAAGTTACAGCAACAAAATTCTGTCCTGAAAACATAGATATAATTTCAATTCAGCACATTCTGTAAGCATATTCAAATATATCACTGACTACTGATGCAAACTTTTTTTTGTTTTGTTTCGGGGTTGGTTTTTCTTGTTTGTTTTATTTACTTGCATACTGTCATGGTTTTGTGTTTTTTGGTTTTCAGTATTCATAACATCGTGGAGTGCACTGGCAGTTAAAGTGTCAATGCTCCAATTCCAGGTACCTATCCCTATACATTACAGAAGTCATGGGATCTGGCCCTTCCAAGTGGGGTGGTCTTATACTGCCTGGCAGTGGGTGCTGGAGGGTGCTTTCCGAGCTGTTCCAAGCTTTTCAGTTTTGACTCGGTCTCAGGAAATATCTCTCTCTCCTATCTTATTTCATTTATTAGTCTCAATTTCAATTAGATTGTATTATATTGTGTTATCTTGCATTCTGATATCATATTTAGTAAAATAACTTTTCCTCCCTAGATTGTTGCCGCTATTTTTTCCTTTCTTCCTTCCCATTTTGTGGGGGAGAGGGGGGGCTGCCAGAGTCCTATTGCCCCCCTGTCATGGGCATAGATTGATCTAGTTAACTCCGTGACACATACTCAGCCCTCAGCTAACTATTGTTCCTGTGTTATCTATTGCAGCTTTAGTCCACCTGGGCCCAATGCTTGAGCTTCAGGAAAATCAACAAGGGGAACCTTTCCATCTATCTGACAGAAACAACACCTGATATGCTGTTAATTCCTCAATAATCCATAAACAAAAGGGGAAATGATTCATCCCAATTCCTCCAGCGGTATTTATTTCAGGACTGAGGTCCTAAGCTACACAGTAAAGGTACTAGATGTTAAACATACAGGACTAGAGTTAATCTGAATCAGAGATAGAATCACTATAATGACATTTTGAAAACAACAAATGATTCTTCATAAAAATCTATCATCATATCATTTTTTTTTAAATTTAAAACATCCTTAGATAGAGCAAAGAGATGAAAGAGATCTATTTAGTTGATATGCATGGCATATATGTATTTATTGTGTATGCAGATGTTCTGCATGCACAATATCTACATGCACACATACACTAATTTAAATATACTTTCCCCTCAGAATTTCACTTGGGTAAATCTCTGAAGATATACCTTTTCCTTAACACTGAATTTACTCTTGCACACCATTCCTAGTTGTTCTGTCTAAAAGTACACATTTACAAAAGGCAGACACAGATTGTGGTCCACAATGGAAATAAGATAAGAAGCTAAATTATATTGCTCTGACAGCTGTCCATCCATCTGCCATAGATTCCATAATCTACTAAAGCCAATCTACAGATTATGCGCATGTTTAAGTTTACTACAAATCTCACATAACATCAAGAATAACTTGTAAAAGGATTAAAAAATATATAGAGGGATACAAAAATATTCATTTTATGTATGCAGAAATTAGATTTGAACTTTAAGGTTTGCACACCAAAATAATTTCAGATGTTGCATTATACAGGATACATTCACATGAGGATGCTAGTACTCGCACTTTGGGTGAAATAGTATAAAAAATAAATGGCTATATATTAAATGGTTAGTTACATCAGTCTACTGCAGACATATTAATCATGTAACCTATAGTATCCCAGTTTTTAATCTCTAGTACTTTATTCTAACAATTGCCTTTCATGTAGAGCTGTATTGTTGAAATGAACACGTTCCTATTTGGCTCAAATTAGTTTGAACAATCATCACTGTGTTATTTACATCACAAATACAATAGTTTATCAGTTATTGCACATGGGTAGCAGTTATAATAACTTTGTGTGGTAGGATGCCAGCACATCGCTTTCACAATCCCAAAAGCTATAATCGCATTAACGCATAACCATTTGGGATACGAATATTTCTGGAACGAGGTCTCCTTTCGGTGTGGTTTCCTCTGGATGCCCAAGAAGAGTAGGAAATGATCACATATTGTCTGAACTGCCACACAAGATTTCTTTTGGACAAGAACCAAACACTATTGCAGAGAAGCCAATTATACCATTCTAATATCACCATACCCACCAGGGGAATACGCTGGGAAATCAAGCTTTATCTTGGAAGATGTCTGAAAATAAAATACGGGAAATAAAAGAGACTAAAATTTTTTTAAAAAAATCTTACATTAAAATTTTACATTACCACCTGTCAAATAAAGTTAAAGGAAATTGCTACGAAGTCCTTTGCAAATCTGCATGCTTTTTTGTTGCTCTCATTCATTTCTTTTTTTTTTTTTTTTTAAATACATCCTAGCTGTCCAGTTGAAAAGATTCAATCCCTATTTTTACTTCTGCCATATGTAATAACAGAATTTTGCCACAGGGTGGTACACCAGACATATTTAACTGAAGGCTTTTATAATCCATCAGACAGCTCGGTTATGCCCTCTGCCAGCTTTACTCCACCAGTAAAGCAACAATCTGGAGATATCAAAATAACTGGCCAAGAGCCAAGGTCTTATATATTCGAAAAACAAGAAAAAGACAACACTGAGAACCTTCTAGCAAATGCTGATAATGTGATGGTATTAATTCTGTGTAAATGCATGCATGCATTTGCATACAACTTAAACACCAGGTTTTTATTTTTAAATGATGCAGTTTTGATTCATCTTCTTACTTATTACTAGATGGACATAACCTGTCAGTCAGTAATCTTGAAATTTAGATTTGAGGTGGAAGAAAAGCTATGCCAGTTGTAGCATAAGATTTTATAAAAATAAAACTTCTGCCATTCAAATATTTCTTATTCCAGCTGGAATACAAATAAACACCAAAAATATTAATTATTCATTTCTATTCTTCTACTTGCATTCAAATCTTATACTAGCACACTCTATATCTTTAACTACAGAGTTTTTTCCTATAAGCCATCAAACCTCAGCTTCTGCCTTCCTTTTCATTATCTGCCTTTCCAGTTAAATAAATGAGGTCTATCAACTTTACATTTACCTTTTCTACAAAATTAAGCGAATTAAGATGAGTAGAAACAATTTCCTTGGGAACTAGGAACTTCAGAAAAATGTCAATTAAGAAATATAGATTTCTATATAGATTCTTTTGCTTAGATTCATGGCTGAAGTTCTGGTTATGAAGTTAAGAGATACTGTGGAATTTAAAAATAAATTTAATTACACAGTGGTATTGACATAAAGGAGCAGAGAACGAGACCTCAGTTTGGAACAGAAATGTGTACTTAGTAATGCAATAATAACTGAAATTACTTTTGCAAAACTTTTCATAACTCATCAATGCACAATGAAAAAAAGGAGAGGCAATTTCCAAGAGACATTTAGCAGCTACCAACTCTCTGTCAAGGTCAACCAGTACCTACACAACTTAAAGTCAATGAAGGTCTCTCCTAGAGCGTTACTTCTTTCAGAGCAGGGCTCCGTCTCCATCAAATGAAATCAAAGAGACTTCTGCCTTATAAGAATCAGTGATGATTTACCATTTTAATAATTGCATATGCATTAAAGTAGAAACACAGTCATCTCAAGAAACTTACCTCTTTCACAAGATCTGCCAAGGTACCCTGTCCCAGAGCAATCACAAACGTATCTGTTCCACCCATCCCTGCATACACCATTGCTTTTACAGGGATTGCTAAGGCATGGCTTTGCAGTTTCTCTCGAGCATGAGGGTTTTACTCCAGCTGTACTTTGAATTTCAGCCATCTGTCGAATGTCTTTGCTCTGACCATCAATAAATAAATCTCTAATGCAGCCAACGTATCCATAATTGAGAAGTGCTGTCCACACCTCTGTTGGGAAGACCAGGCCTGCTTTATTTTCTGGTAAGCCTCCAAGATACAAGTCATCATCCAAGTCAAGGATTTCACTTTCCCCTGGTGCAGTATATGGTGTACGTAACGTGTTCACAGATATGGTCCCTGAGAAGAAATGAAAACAAAATGTAAGATTTTCAAGACATTTGAAGATCTTGGTACTGTTGTTTATCTCTATAAATGTCTATAGGTATACATAAGCTTTCTATATAATTACAAAATAATAGATACATATTTATAGCATTCCTGCATGCTCATGTCAGATAGAAGTCAAAATCTCCTTACCAATCTTGTGGGAGCAGGAGGAATGCATTTCAGACTTATTTGCAGATATACCCTGGCTTGTGCAACGAAAAACTCTTCACTGCCTCTCAGGTGATTCAGAGCACTGAGGTTGAGTTTTCATTGATAGGTTGCAAACTGAGAGGCAAATCTGCCTTTGGTTTGAATCCAAAGACACAGCATTTTTAAAGAGGACTTTGAGAAAGACTTTTTATTTCTTTTCTCCATTAAGTGCAGGAGAAAAATACTCGTCAGCTGCCAGGCAGGCAATCATTAAGAAGATAGCAATGTGCTCCTAGAGGGAAAAATCAATGCCTCTGACACTTACCTCAAAATGTGTGCATGTTACAAAGAGAGGGAGAGAGGAAGTATATAGAATCTGAGGAAATCAGAAATATCTTTTCTGTTTAAGTTAAAAAAATAAACAAATAAAGGCTAAAATAAAATTCTGCTTCTACAAAATGTCTGAACAAAGACAGCAGAGATTTTCTTATGTGTAAAATAATGAAAAAAACAGATAATCAGGTGTAAACATCCTCTGTAAAGAAGTTGTATTTTCAAAAATAATAAGGGTATCAACTTTTTCAACTAGGCAGAATAGGCAGAAACCCCAGTTTAGTGCATGGAATCAGAGAGCACACTTACGCCAACCACGTTTTATGTACTAAGTTTACAAAATCAGTTGAAAAAGGAATCCTTATGCAGATCCTCATATAAGTACCTCCTCACAATTCTATAACAGTGCAGAAACAAACAAAATATAAACCAAAACACTATGTACACTATTAGGTAAATACAATGGACCAGTCACAGCGACTAAGTGGACTTATCCACTGGACACACTATTAAATATGTTAATGATAAGACACTTAGGAATCACATTTCCCACAAAGTATTGATCATACATACATATGAAAAAATTACCTTTCCACAGTTAATAATATAGAGATTTCAGAAGACAGCACTGATAATCAAATATGCCTTCACTGTGTCAAGTATGGTGCATGAAAACAATAAATTTGGAATTTTAAGAGCATAAATCCTAAAATGAGAGTTTTAAGCAAGCAGAGAGGTCTAACAAGATGACAGCTCTCTAACATGGATACAATTTTAAAATCTGGCTTCTTCTCCTGCAATGGAGTCCTGTGGGAGCTATATATTTTGCTTCTTTTGTTGGTTTGACAGCCTGCCTTCAAGAGTAAGGACAGAATGAATACCTAAACAGTTTGGACATTTAGTTAAACCTCTTGGGGCAGAACTCTCATGAGGCCTGCCTCCCACATGAGGCTTGTGATGTATAGATTTTAGAAAGGCTAGATACTGCTACAGCTGCAATCTCCTTAGTATCCAAAGGGACTGAAAAAGAGAAAACATTTGCGCAGCTTTTTGCATTTTTATATGCATGTTTGAAGAATGTTTGAGTATACTCCCAGTTTTCCCTTTTAATGCATTGTCATAATCACAAAGTGAAATTTCAGTGTTAGTTGTAAAAACCAAGCTTATTGAACCAAGGTTCTGTGTTATTTTTACTCTCCCTAGACCTCCAATTTTTAAAATCTGTAGGACAATTGTGTTACGTTACATATTTTTAGTCCAGCTGAGATTCTTAAAGCAGAATTTGGCATGCCTGTAGAATAGACCATTTCTCCTTTAAAAAAGTTAAAGATGCTCACAATACTTCTCACTGCTACTGCTGCTTATTTTCACCTGTTTCTGCTCAGGCAAATTTAAGACCAAGTACTTTAAACCTATGTTCACACATCACTTGAATCCACACAAATTCAGCGAGCTGCAGAACTCCGAATATGCACAACCTCCAGCCACAAGCTCATCCAATTGCATAGTGCTACTTTCTACTAGTGACTACATCTAGCTTTTTCAAGCTATCTATGATGCTAGAAGATACCTTGGGCACCACTGCTATAAAAAAGCAATCTTGATGCATTCCAATAAACAGTAAGAGAAAAGCAAATCTCAGACAATGTAGCTGAGGTTCAAAATGTGATGTGAACAATAAGCATTCCTACAAAAAAGATTCCTAAAATGTAGGCTACTGCTGTACCCTGATGACTGTAAATTACAGCTAAGCAGAAAAACTTTGTTGCGTATCTTATAAGGATCACACTAGAGAAAGCTCACGTTGTATTTTGAATAGATAGCAACAACTTAGAAAAAAAACCTCTCCTCTCCTGAAGAAAAAATATCACAAACTCTTGGGAGAAGACTTCAAAATCAGTGTAAACATGGCATCTACTCATGACCACGAGTAGAATAATAATTTAAGAAATAAATGTTCTGGAGACCTTTTTTATGTTCTGGAAGGCCTCAGAATACATGTCACCTGGTTGGACCATCTCAAATTTACTGCTGGACATTTCAACAACCGCTGATGTACTGCACAAGTGACTTGTTGAGACAACTGTGAGTTACTTTTATTTCCTTGAACCCTTTTTGTTAAGAGCTAAACTAAGTCAAGAAGCACCTGCAGCTGATTCAAAACTTGTGAAACTTGCTCTGCCTCAGTTGTCACAGAGGAGCTTGACCAAAATATCATATAGCACACTGACTAAAACAAAACCTATAACTACAATACAAATAGCTTTAATCTAGCTAACAGCAAGAAACTCATACCTAAACACCAAGAGTTTCACAGTACCAGTTAACTAGCATCCTGGTTTCTAGCTGAACTTCTAAACAGCATGAGCAGGCAGCCATACAACCATCACCGCTATTGGTATCCAACAGCACAGTTTATAGATAATATTGATAGGGAATACAAATTTTATCCACTAGTTGGTTTGTAAAAGTGAGTGGGAAAAAAAAAAGACACGTTAAGAAGAATGGAAAAATACTCCCAAATACAATACAAAAGTTACATGTGCTTTATTGTGTTTTTATTGTTGTTGTTCTTGGGTTTTGTGGTGTTAATTTTTTTTAATATCCTGAACTAAAATGCAAAAATCAAGTTCATAATGCTTCAGCATATACAAAATAAGTAGAGGATCTTTAAACTCTTGAATCCACAGTGCATCCAGAACTGTGGCACACTGTGACAGAGTAGCTGAATGGTTTTGTTTTGTTTTTTTAAAGACTGACATCTCTCTTCATAGAAGTTTTCCAAATTCTACCAAAATCCATCTCAGTGTGGACCATACAACAACACTGAATGATTCCCACAGAATCCTGAGATAAGAAGACACACACACACACACATACACTCTTTGCTGCATTTCAGTCCAAGCTTCTCTGGGGAACATACAGAGATGAATAACATTTGCACTGTCAAAGCACCATTGTACAGAAAGCCATATGGATGCTTCCACTTATAATTGTGAAATGAGCTCACTTTTCAGAAAAGCAGAAAGAAGGGAAGTTAATGGAATAGACAAAGGCCTTATGGTGTTAACACAGGAGCAGGTTAATAACTTGTTCTAGAAAGATAATTCAGTGTCAACTCATCTCTTACCAGAATCGTTTAGTTGTAGAAGAGAGATAAGAATGAGGCATATATAGTTTTACAAAATAACTTAAAACAACAGAATATGACGAAGAGCCTCTCCATGGAAAGAGAAAACTATTACCTTAAATCATAATATCTCTGTATTAAGAGCTATCACTTTTGTTACATATTCGCATAGCACCTAGCATAATGGCAATCATAACCAGTAGTGATACTGTACTATTTCTTTAAAAGGAGCAACACCAAGGTAAAAATTTCTGCCAGGAAATAGGAAGTCTCTGTGCATAATTATTTTTTGTGTGGGTTTTTTTTTTTGTTGTTGTTGTTGTTGCTGTTTGTTTTTTAATGCTGAAGGTAGAAAATAATATTTCTGCCAAAAAAGCAAAGAAAAAATGCTAATAGCATTTGATTTGCTTGAAAGAAGGAAAAAGGGGAAGATTCAGTGAAAACAATAAGGTGTGGGGTGTTATTTAGTCCCCAGATTCATGAAATAATGGACTCTGAAGCCAGGTATAATGCCCTATCCTCTAGAAGTTGTAGATAAATTAATGGCCCTTACAACGACCTACAGCTGAAACAATTATACAGTATTTCACCTAAGAGCAAAATGCAATTCAAACATTTAGAATCATCTTTATATATTGCAAACACACACCTAAAAAAAAAATTAACAGGACTGTGATTTCCAGCAAGAACTGCTTACTTACAAAGAGTAACTGATTAACAGGCAGTTCTTCAAAAAGGAAAAATCAACAACATAAGGAAGTAACAATGTAAAAGTAAGCAAACTTGGAAATATATTGGGAGGTATAGTGAAGATTATCTTACCATTCTACTAATCACAGGTCAGGTTTACCTAGAACTCTGAATATGATGCAGATCAGCTGAGAAGGCTGCAGAAGGTGGCAATGAAAATGGTCAAAGGCTACAGAACATGATACATAGGGACAGTGAGTGGAAGTGGTGCCTTAATCTCTAAAGGAAACTGCAGGCTAGCGTAACAACAGCATCGAATCATAAAAAGTAGATCTACACCATACAAAAAAAAAAAAATCACTGTGTTACGCCTGCTGTGAACAAGGACATTACCAACAATTTGTGTTTTTTCATACGTGGAAAGATTCATCTTGGATGGAATGGGAAGGTTGTACAGTGTTCACTGACGGAGATAACAATTATCTGTCAAGACTGACGCAGTCCCATTATTACTGTGGTAGTTGAAGGGTTTAAACAGAGGACGTCTCAAAGGATCACTGTGTTTTCTTTTCTTTTTTTTTTTCTCTTTTTTTTTTTACTATGAGCTTACAGATAACTGAAAAGCAGTAAGACAATCGTTGGAACAAATGTGAGGTAAACCCAGTGTCTCAAATATGCTAACTATTAACACTTATTGAAATCTGGCATTTCTTAGAACGCTGGAAAGACAGGGAGGAAGGACAGCAAAGAAACGTATGCGTGAAAAAAAGAACTCCCAACAACAATACACATAATTGATGTCTACAAAGTACGACTTAGAGATATTAATTACATCCAAGCTCTAATTTCGTACTCTAGAGATAATGTCTGGTATTTAAACTGTAACTCTAACTTTACTTCAAATTTTCAGAGACTTCTTAACCCTTACATGCTACTTATTCATGAGTGTGTTCTGATACGCTTTTACACTACTATACATGGTTGGACATTGACCAGAATGGTAAGTTTCTTTTCTGATTTCACTGTGTAATGATGATTTCCCAAGGATATATGGCAGTTTAGTAAAAAAGTACGTAAGGGTCATCCTTGAGTACGGCAAATGTGGCAAAGTCTATAAAATTTTAAACAATACTCAAACCTCAGAATCCACTTACTAGCCTAATTTTAATCTACCACAGAAAACAGCGGGGGCAAAGACCTTCACAGCTGTTTCATGGCTTTAGCTTTTTTTTCTTCTTTAACTGCAGAGTTGACATTACTGTTAACAGCAGAACAGAAAAACATTTCCCTTAGGTATGAGTTAATGAGCGCCTTCAATCATATTCATTATCTCAGCAATTTAGTTTTTCCTAAGTGCGTGTATAAGGAACTAAAACATTTCTAAATCATGTCTCACCAGTTCTGATCAGCTTAAAAAAATGATCAGCTATTCTGATCTCCATGCTTACCTTGCCTGGTCTATTTAGTTACCTTTCAGATGCATGAAACACTTGTCTTTGCATATTAAGAAATGGTGGAAAAAAAAAAAAATTAAGAGAAGAGTATGGTTTTCTAGAAACACTTCACACGTTGTGTGCTAAAGCATAACACAGCATCTGTCATGAGGACTGCGACCACAGCATGCAGCCAAGTCATGGCACAAGAGAAGCAGCTGTGATGTCACTGTCCTTCGCAGAAAATCAGATAGACATGAGTGCTGGGAGGAACCCATCTTACATGGCAGGATGTAACACAGGTTGTGTCCTGTGCTGTATACAGGCTGCTGGTCAAAATGTGTTCCTTTTTCCTCAGTTGCATATCTAGCAGAAGAGGTGGACTTGCTTAACATTGGGCTCAGAAATTGCTGTTCCAACAACCTGCTTTTCATGTAAGGAAGCAGTCAGAGAAGGACTTACAGGCAGCATGGTGGGATTCTGCAGGGTCACGACAAAGTCTGTAGTACAGAGTAGATGCTCCTTGTGACTAAGAGTCCAGAAGAGAGCAAAGAATGAAAACTAAATTGAGTACTTGCTGATCCAGCTAATGCTAAAGTCAAGGAAATCAGCAAAGCTCCTTGAGAAATGTCACAGCTTTCTATTATCTGAGGTAGTCACTATGCATTTGATTTGAAGGCTGGGAGTAAAAGGCTGCAAAACATCAAACTTCACTTGGGGAAAAAAAAGAAAAAAAAAGATTATTTGAGCTATTTATTGATCAGCAGGAGAATCTCTTCCTTTCTATTTGAAAGGCTGGAAGTATTTTATCAGCAGCAACAAGAAAGCTTAGAAGAAGCTAAGTTTTTTTTTTTTATATATATATATAGCATATATTCATTCACTTATATGAAAATCTGAATATAAGTAAATGAAAGTGATCATATTCATATGATTGGATTCATATTTGGATTGGGATAGAGAAAAGAAATGAAAAAGCTTCCTGGAATATTAAGAGGAATTTTAATATTCAAGGAAAAAAACATAGGAGATGTACATGCATGAAGAAATAATTTGAACATATCAATAATTTGTTTCAATCAGAAAAATGCAACATGTAGTTCACTGATTATTTTTATCATCAGGCAGTAATTTTACTTGGTTAAATCTGATGGTATAAGATACTGCTCTGGCAGTATTTTTATTAAGAATAATAACAGCTTGCCACTGTTATCTGTCACACTGTAAAATGTTATTGTATGTATTTAAAATTATAGAACGCTTTTGATGACTGGTTCAGATTTTAGATAAATTTCAAATACCGGTCAATAAGTGCACATATTTATTCAGTATTCCTGGTAATAATTCCACGTTTAAGGGCAAGTAGGTGATATGATGATTTGAATGAGTAGCACGGTAAATAAAGTTTGCCTATCCAGGCTATTTATTCATCAGTTGGATTATTTTTTCTTACACATAGATATTTGACTACTTACAATTCTACTTAAAGATAAGACAAAAATCTGATTTTTAGGTGACTATTACTTCCTAAAATTACTATGCATTCTTGCCAAATTCCTCCAACAGTTCTAATAATTTAAATAAAACAGGTCCTAAAATCTCTTAATGGCAGTCATGAGCTACAGTATTTTGCTAAGCAGAAATGCAGGACATTTCTTCAAATATGGCTTAGAATATAAGAATAAACTTTGCTTTAAGAAGACTCACAGAAGCACATTATTACAGGATTTATATCTCATACGAATCACTAAAACAGCACTGAAGGAGGAAGCCTGAAATGAAGGCTGTAGTGTAAATAATGTAACCACTGGATACTCAATCACAATTGAGGTTTTTGAGATTTATTTTTTGTTTTTTACCTCTAGGAAAGCAAAAACCTAACCAACATGTAATCAGAAAATCAGGCTCTATACAACTTGAATTTCAAGCTCCACAAACTAGGAATCAAATCAGTATTTTTAACAGTTCTATAGTAGATTGAATGATTGAATTTGGTCAGCCTTTAGCATGGATTTGACTGAAATCTTCAGTTTAAAACTACACTTAAATTTGCTTAATTTGTTTATATTTAGAAAGTCACTTAAAAAAAAATGAGTGTTTCAAGGATAAAGATTCAAAAATCAATTAAAAATGCAAATCAGTCAGAAGGAGTCATCAGGAGGTAGTGGGGAAAAGTCACAAAAACCAAAAGAGACAGGGAAGTTTACTTTTGCAACATGCAATTTCAGAGTGTATATAAACTTCAGGTAGAATACTGATCTTGATCAGAAAATTCTTTGATGATCTAAATAACAGGCTCGGTATGTCTCTCCCCAAAAAAACCTGATAAATCCTGGCATGTTGCTCAGGCCAATATATATTGTAGTTAACAAAATAAGCGGGACATTAATCAGAGGTTGCCAAAGCAAAGGCAACAAGTGGTGACCCCAGTGTGATAATGCCATGTCCCAGTCATGAAGTGCTCAGACAGCCCCGGCCAAATCACACGCTTTTATGACACCAATGTGGTGAGCGGCAAATGGCACTTATTGCAAGCAACACACTCTTCTTATAGTTGTCCCTTATATCACAGTGCTACCAATCACCCTTGCTACGGTTATCTGTGCCCAATAGACGTGTGGCATGTCTTGTCTTGCCATGTCTCATCATGGTTTTCTTATGAGTCAAGGAGCCCCCGCAGAGGCTGATGACTGTTACAGCCCCCCTTTCACGTATTCGCTAACCACACAAGGGGCCCACACAGATTACGCCTGGTTACGCCTGGTGACCTTGACAGCCCCTGCTTTACGTATTTTGTTGACTACATCTCTAACTTACGTATTTTGTTAACTACAATATATACACTCAATATCAGATGTAGCATCAACACAAGAACAGCCAGTTAAACACATTACAAGCTGGGACAAATTTTAGTATCATTGGGAATATTTTTAAGTTTTGTTTTTTAGCATTTCTGGGGAGATCATTTCTCAAGTTAAATACTATAGAATACAAACCATACTGACATAACTCTAGTTTATGCTGGTATGTATTGTCAGCCACCTATTAGCATACTATTTAATTTTGATGAGGTTTGCTGATATGAATGGAAGGCCTATGCTGTTTCTGCGGGCAGATAATTCCCAATTTGGCAGATTCCTTAGAGTAATTCTTTTTTGCTTGATTTTTTATCTTGAAACTTACCACTCTGGCTATTTGGTTTACGTGCAAGTTTAAATATTTGATTACCCAACGAACGTTAACATAAGATATGTTACTCTGGAAGTCATTATATTCTGGTACCCGACACTAATGACTGTTTATATTTCCTTCGCTTTTCAGACAATGTGCAACTTTGTATATAGCACTATATATAGCCAGCATTCGTCAGATATAACAAGAAAAGACCTAATGAATATTAAAATGGAAGACTTACCTGACCGTCCATCCCTTTGAAAGTCCACATGGTACCATTCACCATCATTCACCTTCTTCTGCAACGCTTTTATTTTTATAGTACCTGATCCCATGTCTAACAGCAGGTAGAGGTGGCCATCAAGCATCTCAATGGCAAAAAAGTCAACTTTCACCATCTGTGGGTGTTTGGCATCTTTTTGGTGCCTTGGCTTTCCATGACTGAAAAGAATCAAACCATTTGGCTCAGTTGTACGAAAGTCAAATGATATTGAGCCTGTTTTCTTGGCATTCCACTTTGGCAAAGAAATGAAAGACTCTGGTGTTTCAAATGTGATCGGATCTAAGGTTGCAACATTCTCACATTTAAATGCTACTACCCCGTGAATCTTCATCTTAGGATCTCCTTGTTTGGCAAGTCGAGATAACTCCAACCTGACATCATTATTTTTATATACAACCTGCAAGAAAAGTAGAAAAATTACCAAGAGAGATTGGAGCACTTTAATCAAACATATATAATCCTGAAGCATTTATTATTTAATGATTAATAATAGCAAACAGGTTGCTTCAAAAGTAATGCTCCCTATTTATTTCCCAAGGAAACAACAACAGATACAAAGAATAAAATAACACCATTTGATAGAGCAAATTGTCATCTACCTTAGTTTTCAACATTGTCATCACCATTAACTAATTTGTGCAGGTGAGCTGAATGAGATGTTCTTCCTTTTGTGACATTACAGCTGCATGGCCATCTTAAAAGTGGCCTATCTTTCATGTTGCTGTTGCCATTGCTGAAAAACAGCAATCTCTACTACCATACCAACATAACAGAATAGGAGGCATTATTTTGGAGGCAGCTCTCATATTTAAATGCAGTAATATACACAAACACACGCGCAAAGTAACTATTTTTATTGACTAATGATTTGATAATGGTTTTCATTAAACCCAACAAAATTGTTCTAAAAAAATACCCTTAGAGTTAATTCAAGCAATCTGAATGAATCTGCACATAACTCGTACTATCAGTTACAAATTAGCTTGTGTAGCCTTCATTCTTAAAAGCTTTCTTTGCACAGTCATTCCACTCTGTTTGAGAAGTATTAGATTTCTTGTTCCTCCAAACCCTTTGTCACTGTCTTAACTCTTCTGTTCATGTACAGAAAATGCACCAAGGTCAGAAACTTTACAATTTAACATCTTTTCAGTTTGTCCTTGGGGCTGAGGAACAGTAGCATCCATGAATATCATGAAGCCATAAACAGAGAAAAATGTATCATACAGATCAAAACAGAAAAAAAACAAAACCAACATCAACAGAAAACAATGGGACCATCTCTGAGCAGTTCAGCTGGACGAAAGATAAAAACACAAACATTTTCCTGACTGTACAGTTTTATCTGAAAAATGAAAGACAGTATTAGTTTTAAATCCAATTGACCCCCACAACAAATGTTTTTGCCTCAAGTTGCATTTTTACTCTGTCCTGAGAAACTTGACACAATAATTACACAACATTCAAGTCTTCATTAGTATACTCTGAAATTGCCTCAATTTCTAGGTTGTCAAGGATAAAAGGACTGTTTAAATGAAGCTATCCAATCACAGAGGTAGCATGACTACTTTGTCAGTATTCTTCCTTATTCAATAAATGATTTACCTATGCTAAAATACCACTGGAGGGCTGAATACAACTATATGGTGACACAAGCTAAAACATTCATCTCTGCTTCTAAGGTTACACCTCCACTAGCAAGCAGTTTTGAGCAAAAGCAACAGCTCAGGAAATCAGTTGTGTTCAGGATTCTTCATCGACAACCATACATCGATCTGAACCTGATCACGTCTGGCATCTTATTCAGTGATGCAATTCTACAATGTATTCTGAAGCTGTCTGAAAGACCAGTTGCTGGTTTAGGCCTTAGAGTGTGTTTGATGAATACTTAGGTTTCAGAGGAAATAAATCTCTGGCCTAACTCTGAAATCCAGTAAGCAAGCAAAGTGGAAGACCTACAGTAAGTACAAGAGACAAGTATGCACAACAGAACTGTGCTACTGTTACAAATAAAAACCCTAGCATACATGCAACATAAGATAGTGTACCCCACAAGGAACAGTTGTTAGTGAAAAATGCTAAACATAATATATACTAAAAATATGGTTGATAAATCACAAACTGTTTAATCTGAGAATTAAGTTCTTTCAAATTATGTCATTATTATTCCATGATTATCAACCAAGTAACATAAACTAGCAGAGCTATTCTACACATATCCTAAAATCTAAGAAATAAGGCCATTTTTACGTTTTATTTCAGGGCTTAATTCTAACACTGTTGCTCTCCATGGAGGTGTATATTTCCAAAGATGACAAATAACCCTCATTTGTGGCTTCCTGATAGCAGGAAGAATACTCTGCCACTGGGAGGCAGATAATGTATTGCCCGCCTTGAGTGAATGCATAATAACTGTGTGCAGTTTGACTAACTTGTAATCTCAGAGAATAATGATATACACATTATCAAGAAATCCTGGAGTACCTCAGAGATCACAGCTTACTCAAAGCAACTTAGAAGATCAAAAAATATTAAAGAATAAGCATGCACAAGTCATCTCCTATTAGAAGAACCTTCTGTTTTAAGAGTGATGAGAGCCAAAAGGCAGAAGAATGCTACAAGAAGCTAGTAGACTGGCAGGCAAAATTACTTAGTGATATTTGATCTTAAAAGACATTGACCTGATCACTTCCTACGGTAACAGAGGTTTTGCAAAGCGTTCATCTCATCCAAACAAGTCATAAGAGGAAACCTTTCTATAATGTGCTGAAGATCATTACAGTCAGACTGAAGGATGAGGTAAAAAGGAGGAACAAATGGGTTCTCATTAGAACTAAATCATGGTGTTGACAATGAAAGTAATTAAGGCAACAAAGAACATGAAGAGAAAATATTCTTTAATTGTCATCCAAACAAAGGCAGGTACAAAGATAACACAAACAAATGAGAAAAAGAATTGCTTGTTTATGGGCATAAATTCAAACTGTTTGCTCTTACTGAAAGCTGCTCGACTGAATAATAAAAGATGGTAGTTAATACAACTCAGAAAACCTGAACTGAAAAGAGGAGAGCTAAGCTTTACTTTGTGTCTAAAATGGTTCTATTGGCTTTGAAATCCTTAGAATATTAATTTTAGTCTCATGAAATAGACAATTTGGAACTGAAATATCAGGATATTTTATTAAAACAAAAATATAAACAATAATTAAAGACCACAACTGAAATAAATTGTTAATTCAGTTGGCATTTGGAAGTCTTATTCCTAGTGCTACACTGAAGTTTGTATCTCTCCCCTACACTTCCTGTTCATAGAGGATGCACTCACCCGTCCTTGAAGCTAAACAAAAAGGGGAAAAAACAACAACAACAACAACAACAGAGTATGTTCACAAACAAAAAAATAGTCATTGGAAGTGTGGAAAAGAACTGACAGTACAGAATAATTATGAGGCTAATATCTGCTTTACAACTCATGCAGGTATATATGCTTTAGGACTGAGAGCCTCTAGGGCACAAGTGAATTCAATTTGGAAATGTAGGCTTCATTTTTTATTTTTTTGAGGATTTTTTCTTTCCTTCTCAGTACACATAAGGATAAATATGTTCTTAATAGTGCAGATATTATCCAATGCTAATTACACTCAAGATACCCTTCGTATTTTTCAATGTTAGCTATGTAGATTATCCCTCAAACAAAGATAAGGATCCACAATTAAGCCAAGTGAATGTAATTTGTAAAGGAGAAATATCTTTGAGTCACAATCAACTTCACTCTACTTGGTACACTTGCAGTTTTTCTGTGCTTCTCTAGGACCTATTGGGCTGCCCCTGGTAAATAGCTTCCTTACTCTCATGCTCTAATACCTAAGTTTAAACAACATAATTTTCCTATACATGAACCTGCATGCCCTAAAGGAATTGTACTGTGCTATTAAAAGCTCCATGAATTTTTCTTTCATTGAATGTATTAACTCCTTTTAATATTAAGTAAGGGACAAGACCCTGGTCTTTAAAATATCTAATAACCTAGTTCTTGGAAACTACAAAAGGTCACTTAAACTCCCAAGATAAAAGGAGCAGTTCACAATTTCACTTGTTACTTGTAACAGAAAAATCCAAAGTAAGGAATAGAACTGTTTCCCAGAAGAGAAGGGACATGTGTAGCAATTCACATCAAGATGAAAGCACCCTCTATCATCAAGGCCAACCGCACACCAGGTAACACGATATGACATAGCTGAGTCTCACCAAATAAATCCAGCTAAGAAACAGCAAATATTAACTTAAACTCAGCACTCTCTTTAACATGGCCTCTGGACATCTTGGCACACAAGCAGAATTAATTCATCTTTCCCAAAGATATATAATTTATAGGTAACCAGGGCCTTAACAAGCAAAGAACTCCAGGGAAGAAATTAAGAATTGACTGCAAATCTTGCCAGAGGTCATGGTGTCTTCATCAACAAAAAAAACGGAGTATAGCAGCGAGTAAAAATATATTCTTAAGTTGGTAACCTATAACTGTATGAAAGACTTTGAGAAAAGGTGAAGGAGAAAACTAGTAATGTCTCTAATATCAGCAGTACATCCTAAACACACAAACATTTGGTAGTTTTACTACCAGATGAGAAGAGCAGACATAATAAAAATGTTAGTATGAATAAAACCTTATCAGTTCTCTTTAATTTCCTGATCTTATTCCATGAAATTTAAAACCAGGAAAAATGAAAAGAATGAAGATTTTGACACCACTCCCAACACAGAGTCCAAACTTTTCCATACGAAGGATTTCCTTTGTATTCTTCACATCAAATATTATCAGTGAAGAAACAGCATTACTCTAAAATAAATGTTTCACAAGACTGACCATTATGTTAGTAACAAGCCTCCTTCCAATCACTGCGATTTAAAAACCTTTGAACTACAGTGAAGGATTTCTTTTTCCAAATTATTTACATTATGAAAGCAAAACAGGGTCTCAAGGAAGCAAGTCACATTGTCTCATTTATAACATCTAAGTTTCCTCAGAATAATAAAATCAAGCAGCAGTTTAGGATAGCAGTTTAGTTAAGAGAAGCCTATTTACTTAAAAGGGAGGTGAAGAAAAATACATTTCTAAATGCTATTTGAATGAATCCATGCTCTAAATCTGTTGGTTGTTTTTTTTGTTTGTCTGTTTGTTTTAAGTGCAACAGAAGTATTTATGTTACCATAGAGCAGTACTTTTGTACTTTCATGAAACCTGTACCACCTGGTTGGTTACTACAACTTCACCGCAAACAGTGGCAATTAATTCTCTAAAATGGAGACCCATATGATCCAAAATGGCTCAGGTAGGTCCTGCCAACTTACTGTTTTATGCTGCCCAGTGAAGTCAGCAGGAGATAATTTACTGATGTC